CCCCGGCTCGAGGCTGCACCTGTGCGGGTGATGCGCTGCTTCCAACCTCCATAGGTCTAACCCTCCCTGGCGGCCGCCCTTGAAACTCCCTCAGGAACAGGTAGATGGCCTGGGCGGACACCTTGATGTTCTCCAGCTCGAGCACAGCTTTGATCTTACGGAAACTCAGACCAGCCCTCCGCAGCTCCACCACTTTGTGTTTGGCGGCATCATCCAGCCGGCCCATAGTTTCTCACGCTAGAGGGACTCTGTGAGTTTGGCGGTTGATCTCTAGAAGATTCATAAAACATGTAGTAAAAAAAGATGGTAACTAACATTTAGTGTACGATTAATACTGGGAAATAAACAACAGGTGCTGCCGCTGTGGACTTCTTCTTGTATATGAAAATACCAGTAAAGCAGAGGAGTATAATTGCTTCCAACATTACGCAAAACTTTTGCTCAGCTCCTCCTAGTATCCTTATTAGGTTATAACAAGATATTGTTTTCGAACTGTTGTAACAATAAACTTACTGCATCGTGTTATATCAAGAAGCACTTTTGTTATTATCCAGTACAAACGTATCCCAGTAAAACAAGAAACGTATATTTATAAATACGGATCCACATAAAAAAAATTAAAAAAAGATCTTATTTGTTCTGTCACCGCATATTTTGACATTATTTGCTGAAATAAACAGTAATAGTACGAGGTGGCTAACGTTACAGGTTATCAGAAACTTTCGTCCAGATTAAAAACAGTCATAGATTGGTGAAAAATAACGGTCGCCGTGGTGGCAGATAGGTAACGTTATACGATGCCGTATAGTAACGTTAAATGAATCTGTACCAAACGTAAATGTTAACGTTAGACGAGCTAACAGCTAGCGTAAGCACAGCGCCGTTATAGAGTGAAGCGCTCACCTCGTCAGGGGAAGGTCGATCGATGATTAAATCATTCCACGTACCAATATGACGTATTTCATCTCAGCCTAGGTACGACGTAGTCAACTAACATTGTTATCGACAAGAAGGTAAATAAACAAATGAGTTGTAAGTGGCGCATAGGTGGATACGTCACGTCCGCTCTTGCGTCATCACCGAGCGACGTTTTCTCCGGCCGCAAGTGGTTGAATCGAAATCACCTCGACTGAAAAAAAACAATATGTAAGTTTAACCATATATTCGATTACAATCGAGCTAGTTTCAATCCCATTACGTGTTGTATCATATATGGAATATTGTGTCACGTTTTTAAACCGTTTGTGCACTTATGAATAGTGTCGCAATCGATAAAACAGCAGTCCCCCGTGGCTGTGTGCGCCTTGTTTTGAGGAGTCAGTTGAATCAATGGCGGCCGAATTTTGTCAGAGAGTAACGTTACCTTTGTTGGCAGTAAAGTTGACTAGTGTAAGAGGTTTCAGTTATAATAGTATTAATATGACATTACACACGCGCTCCCAATAAAATAACATTACAGCCGGCGAAGTTTTTAATATGCAAATATCCAGTAAGGACATTCTCGCTATATTGCGGCGGTTACTTACGACCCGCACAGACTTTACGGTCCTTTTGGTTGTACGTTCTTTACAGCATTAATAATGCTCATGTGTAGAAGAAACTGTTATCCTTAGTCAAGTTTTGAAACTGTATTTCGGTCGATAGGAAATGTTCGGCCAACTATTTTGATAACGGATTAATCGTTAGTCATTTATCAACCCAAAACGTCTCGTTGGTTCCAGCTTCTCAAACGTTTTGCTGATCCCATTCTGTGTAATAGTAGCTTGAATATCTTTGGGTCTGTTGGTCAGACAACACGGCAATTTCAAGACACTAACTTGGGCTCTGGGGTATTGTGGCATGCACATTTCACTACTTGCTGACAATAGACTAAATTTATGAAAATAATTATTAGTTGCTGCCCTACACCAGTCACAATGTCTCTGATCTCAAAGTAACAGCAGCTCTGACTTTAGGGCACCGTCACCCACAAAGCGGAAGGAGGAGGAAAAAACAAAAGACAGAGGCAAAGACAAGACTAGTACCAAGGAAGGAGATAAGGAGAGAGGACGGGAGAAGGCTAGGAAACGTCGCAGTGCATCTACTGGCACCAGCAGCAGGTTTGTTTTCTACATTCTTGATGCGATTATTAGTGTTTATGTTTGTTATTCTCTGTTACTTAGTGTCTTAAATATGTATATTTTTGTACCTAACATGTTTTGACCATGTCAAGATCTAGCTCTACTTCAAGCAGCAGCTCTGGTTCGAGCTCAGGTTCCTCAAGTGGATCCAGCTCATCTGGATCCAGCCGCTCTGGTTCTTCAAGCTCTCGTTCCTCCTCATCTTCCGGCTCCTCAGGCTCCCCCAGCCCCAGCCGTAGACGCCATGATAACCGCCGCCGATCCCGCTCAGCGTGAGTCACTATATCTAACGCAGCTAGCTACCCATTATGTATAGACTTTAATGTCTTGTTTTTTTTTGCTTGTTTAGAGACCTGATGAAATGAATCAAATGTTTTGTTTGTGAATCATCAGGTCCAAAACACAGAAGAGGGGAGATGACAAGGAGCGAAGGAAAAGAAGCCCAAGCCCTAAACCAACTAAAGTTCACTTAGGGCGGCTGACCAGGAATGTCACCAAGGTCAGCTGAGAAACTGTTAAGATTGTTGATATATGATGTAACATGATTTGAGATTATGACCTCAGAAATGTAATGTTGGGTAGATAACAACAACAACAACAACATGTTTTATAATCAAAATGGAAAGTAAAAAAAGAAAAATGTTTGAGATAATAATCATTTTCTGTTAACATGGTTCTGACAAACCTATTGTGTCTTTTTTTTGCACAGGACCACATCCAGGAGATCTTTTCCACTTATGGAAAAATCAAAATGGTCGATATGCCAATGGACCGGATCCACCCACACCTGTCCAGGGGCTATGCTTATGTGGAGTTTGAGACTCCTGATGAGGCTCAGAAGGCCCTCAAACACATGGATGGAGGTAGGCCAACGTGTTCCCTTCAGTGCCTCTGTCTCACACCATTACTCTACTGGGCATACGTGTTGAATAACTTTCTGTTTCAACTTTGTTATTGTTAGGTCAGATTGACGGACAGGAAATCAGTGCATCTGCCGTGCTGACTCAACGAGTTCGTCCTCCACCTCGTAGACCTTCTCCCCCTCGCAGAATGCCCCCGCCACCACCCATGTGGCGTCGCAGTCCACCACGCATGAGGAGAAGGTACATTTATGATTTTCAATCAGTAGCTACCTACTCTTGATTTTCACAATATCATGTGAGCATATGTTCATGTTGTTTTGTTCAGACCATTAAGCTGTTCATTCTTCAGCTTTATTGGCCGAGCATGTTGTTTCTCTCAATGAACTTACACACCAATAGACATACATCGGGACAAGGAAAACAAAGCTTAACAAAGTCGAATCAATTTTATTTACATATTTAAAAAGAACAATCTGCTCTGTCCCGTACAAAGCATACAACCGCGAGGTGGTAATTGTAGTTTCTTTGTCTGTCCTTGCAGGTCCCGCTCCCCGAGGAGGCGGTCCCCAGTACGCCGCCGTACTCGCTCCAGGTCTCCTGGTCGTAGGCGCCACCGTTCTCGTTCCAGCTCTAACTCCTCCAGATAGACGAGTTACCTGCCTCCTGATACCAAGTGATCGCTTGGATTCTGACACCAGATCAGCTGGAGTTTCTGCTTTCCCAGACCTCATGGATTACAAGAAATAAAATCCTCTGCATTGTAGCAAACATAAACATCTGCCTGCATGTAGAAAGCATAAATGTTTTTTTTAGTTTTTTGTGCAAATAGGAGTATTTTCTTTTCATATTTGGTGTTCGGTTGACCCTGAAAGCTTTCTCGCTAAATATGTTGTGTTTCAAGCTGAGGTTGGCTCCACTGGGTTCGACAAATATTTCTTTTAAAGTGTAACTTCTTTTTACAATGTACTGAATTTTTAGACATTTTGAAAAATAAAATTGCTGAAACATGTAGAGTGTGAGTTCAGTATATAACTTGTCATATTTTGGCTTTTTGGATTAAATCCTGGTTAGAGGCCAGAGTGCGTTCATACTTCTACCATGATATGTATACTTTACGTATACATATTCTTGTAGGCAAAAAGGGGTTTCTGTTTTATATATCTTCTATGAAATTTATTTTTTACTACTACCAAATTCTTATCAACAACCGCGTCTGTTCAGGTCGTTAAAATCTTTGCGGAGAGAAAAAAGAAAAAGCTTGAGATCTGGTATATATTTCCACGCAGGGAATTGGTGAAGGAGGAGGTACAATCTCACAGACTGGGAGTGTCGTGAGCGCATTTCATACCATCACAATGACCGCTGGAGGTCTCACTCTATAAAAAGGCAGAGCTAAGACTTGAATCTATTGCTGTATATGGGTTATACAGCATATACACTAGACTGACCATGCTCTACTATTCAGCCCTCCACCTAAATATGACAGCCTTCTCGTTAGATGTGTAGGCGCGTTTGTTTGTACAAATTCAGTCCAGCGCGTCCCAGCGGCAATCTTTACTTTTGATGCACGAGAGTTTAAGGTTTTCAGAACGCTGAGCAGGAATCTGGGCAGAATCATTTGTGTTATGGCTTCGGATCAAGAAAGGAACAGTCAGCGTGTGAAACAGCTTTTGGGGAAACCTGGAAATGGAAACTGTGCCGACTGCGGAGCTGCGGGTAAGCTGGAGGGGAGTCGCTGTCTGACTCCGACAGATGCTGGACAAATACATGATTTTAGTGACCTCGCAGCGACTTAAACCTGTTTGTGAATACATGTTATGACCATCCTACTTCTTTGTTATTCCCGTGGGATATTATCAGCTTGAAATAATGAACTCTCTTCGCCACAATTTCACACCGTGCCTCCAGTTCTTTCTCGCAAGGTCGTTGAGTTCTCTTTTCAGACAGTCACGGAATGGTGTGGTGACAATATAAAAGTTGACATAATGAAGACGAAAGAGTGTAAATGTAAAAGTAATGAATTTGAGGAGGGCTCTAAGGAAAAAGTAACTATTGTAATAGTGAATACATGTCTCAGCATGTCTCAGCAGTTAAAAACAATACAAAATATATTTAATATGTATTGTTATTCCTATGTGGGGTATATGTTACAGATGTATTCTTCATTGGTTGAGGGTTCAAATATGTATTCATCTGGAGGTTGATTTCCTTTTGCATACTACACATGTGGTCACACACCATGATGGGCACACCTAGTTGGTTTGTTCTTATCATATCGGCAGTCAAGTGCATGGGCATACAAGAAGGGGTAACAAACAGTCAAACAGGTGTGGCTTGTGAAAAAAGGTCTGTACCCAAGTACAACCCTATAGTTAATAATATGAAAAGCAGCAATGCCCTTTTAATTGGAAAGCTGCAGCTAGAGAAAGTTAGGCAAATATTTAACATTGTTTTCTTGAAAAAAAGACCAAATTGACTTCCGGTATTAATCATCAAAATAGCTGCAGAATATTTTTTTCTCGTTCTATTGACTAATGAATTAATCAAGTACCGTTTACTTATTTTAAGGGCGTTCGTGCATTTCTGCTTTCCTGACCCTTACATTTCTGTTATATGCCAAATACATGTTTTCATCCTCTTTTTGACTTTGTATGCATCTTGTTGTCTTGGAGACTGACTTCTCAGTTCGACTGGTTGAATGTCTCAACTACAAGAGGCCCACACAATGAGGAGGCGATGGGACTGGCTAGCTACACATCAGATACTTGTCTCTTGTGTGCAGATGCACGTGTGCAGCTTTGTGATTATGCACAAGGAAGTCATATTTTTTTTTTGTTCTCATGCTATTTTGTAGCACGAGTTCACTAAGTTTTTATGCGCAATGGTTGAAGGGCTGCAGCACGCTCATGCAAACTATGTGACACTGCCTGAGTTCTCTGACTCAGTTACAAAATGACCACCACGTCAGCTGTAATCTCACCTTGCATTGATATGACTAATGAAGATTCGTGCTTTGTGTGTGTTGTGTAGCCATTCACACATTTGCTGCAACCCTTGCCTGTTCTGTGTCGGTTCGGACCTGAATTGAAATGGATTAGCATACTGTATGTTGTCATAACAAAATAATCTGCCATGTTATTTACTCCCTTGGTTTCACTAACAAGGACCACGCCAATAACAGTATAAGTTTTGAGAGGTTTATTAGCAGTGGAATGATTGTTAGATTCAAGAAGCGGAAGGGGTTGAGGGATGAAATAGATACAGGGTAGGGGTAGAGGGATGAAGGGGTGTAGGGTAGAGGGATGATGGGATGTGGGGTAGGGATGAAGAGATGAAGGGATGTGGGGTAGGGGTTGAGGTAGAGGGATGAAGGGTAGGGGAAGAGGGATGAAGGGATGAAGGGTAGGAGAAGAGGGATGAAGGGATGAAGGGATGTAGGGTAGAGGGATGAAGGGATGTGGGGTAGAGGGATGAAGCGATGAAGGGATGTGCGGTAGGGATCGAGGTAGAGGGATGAAGGGATGTAGGGTAGAGGGATGAATGGATGTCAGGAAGAAGAAACGAGGAGAGTTTGTAGGAAGGAGGTTAGGCGATCGATGGGGGACCATTGATGTCCGGCGGCTGGCGGGAAGGGGGGGGACTGGAGACTGTAGGGTGGGGGCCGTCTCTTCGGAAGCTCTGGCGGTGCAGAGTCCCCTGCTGTTCCTGTAATTCTACAAGAGAGAGAGATAGAGAGAGGGAGAGAGAGAGGACAAAAACGGGGTTTGGGGGGAGGGATGTGTAGACAAGAGTCGAAGAGGGAGTGAACGGGTTCGTTGTGCTTAAGTACTCTGTGCAGAGGAAATGAGTGGTGTTCTGGGCGTGGCCCTGTTCCTGAACAGTTTCTGAAACTACATATAAAAAAAAAAGAAAAAAAAGTATGCAGTGGATTTATTGTGAAATTCATAATTGCCACGCTGCATTCTCTTGGTCTCCCTTTGAAGAAATGTTTGAACTGGGTGAGAAACTTCTGACCTTTCACTTTAGCAGAAACATAACTGGGTGACATCATGTCACAAAAAAACAAGTCATTTTTTTCAGTTTATGTTTGCTTTATGTCAGAGGTCTTCAGTACATGTTTTATTGGGGGAGGCACAGAGGTGTAATGACTCATTTACTGAATGCAAAAGAGTGTGAATGTAGCGTGTGGAGGTTTTGTAGGTGTGAAAAACGTGTTGCACACACTGGTAACTGATATACAGTAATTATGCCTGTCAATTTCCAATATTCATAACAAATATTCAGTAGTTGTAGCTGCAGTTTAAATGTATGCATTGCATGTTAAAAACATGCTCATGACAATGGAGATACACATGTACGTCATATATGTATTCATAGTATAGGTATATGATGTGCTTGCTTCCGGTAGATTGCTAGTTACAGTAGCAATGTACAGTAAATGTGGGCTGTTGTGTAAATACTACATTAAAGGAGACATTTTGTAGCGTCTGTGGGCAGAAATAACATCTATGAAACACTACCCTGCCGGGGTGATCCAAGCTGAGCCAGCAGTGGTGCCGGGTCGACTCTCTCACTACTGCCGCCAGACTGAAAGAATGGAAAGAAAACACCTATCTGGCCTCACACAAACCTAAATACAATTCAGATCTTGACTGACATTCATCCAAATGTTGATCACCAGCGAAACTGGGGGAGGGTTTTCTGATCGCTCCTAGGATGTGAACTGAGTTGTTAAATGTAGGTCATGGAGACAAACTCGAAGATCTCTTTGGGTGAACTGCTTCCTGTGTAGGCTGAAGTGAGTACACTTTGAAAAAGTATTATTTAAGATGCAAAGATAAATAACTTGAGGGAGTAGCTGGCATGTATTTAAAGAGATGGAGAGAAGAAGACAGATAGACAGAATACATATTTTATCATATGTCTTGTGCTGTCGGCCTTCTCCATGATCTGAAAGTAAGACGACCCCATAGTCTCGCCATGTTGCTTATCTCTGCCATTACCCAGTCTTGACCCTTTCTATCTATACCTGTTTCTGCTCTTTCTGGACCAACACCTCTTGCAAATGCCAATTAACTACATGTTATAATTAGGATTCTTAATCTTCAGCAGGAATAATGTAAAAAACAACAACTTGTACACACTTTTTTCTGCCTGTTATAATGTGTCAACCACTGTTACGGTTGTTTGCTGTTTGCTATAGTCAACCTGCTTCAATTATAGCTGAGCCATCAGTGTCTGTTAGAAGGAGGTTCAGAAAAGTTTCAGTGTGAACAGTTATTTTGAGCTCGTGGTTTACGTGTGCATCTACATCTGTCTTTCTCCTGAGTTGCAGATCCGGAATGGGCATCCTACACTCTGGGAGTGTTTGTGTGTATCAGCTGCTCCGGCCTTCATAGAAACATTGTTCAGATCAGCAAAGTGAAATCTATCCTGCTGGATCCCTGGAGCTCCTCTGAGGTGGAGGTAAGACATTGCGTCTGTTGCGTATGTGAAGTGATTTTATTCATACATAACCCTGAAAAAAATTCTTATAGTAATAATTATAGTCTGAAACTTGGCTTGAGGTAACGTCTGCACCCTCTGGCCTCGTCCTCACCCATCAGACCATGCTCCACTGTGAGCATCACTCTCTGCCTTCCATTCCTGCAGATACAACCAATATCTTTGTGTATGTGTGTGTGTGTGTGTGTGTGTGAGTGGGACCTTTAAGCAGAAGCCAAATACACATACGCTTCCAGGCATTACACCACCGAGCACACACTAATACACTCAGATATCACTTACAAACATCCGTTTTTCTCTTCCTCCCCTCTGCAGTTTATGGACACTGTGGGTAACAATGCTGCCAAGGCCAAATATGAACAGCTAGTTCCTGCCTTCTACTACTGCCCTACACATAAAGACTGCATGTAAGTATGTCTTCCTCTGCCCTGCTAAACGTCTGATTCAGGTCACCAATACATCTAAGAGTGATTAGTACATATCTACAGCACAGATGGATACAGTAGAAACTTTTCTTTTTTGTCTGAATTTTGAACAGCCATGGTGGTGAAGGTTATCATACACTTCCATTTGTAACTAATGAAGCTGTCTTAAAGGTAAATTTGCATTGTGTAAATAAAGTAAAAATTGAAATTTATTTTTTGAAATTGAACGTCCTTGTTCTTATCGCTTGTATTGCAAACTAGATATGTTTCCATCAGCAAAAATAGCATCTCAAAATATGAGTACAGAGGATAGACAAGTATACATTTACAGTGTTATGGCTGACTCAGATAATCAGCCATATTGATTTGAGCCAGAGTAAACAGCCGAAGAAATGCAGCAGACTGAGGCCGAGGCTGCGGCTGCATTAGCCGTGCGAGAGGATGTGGCCCGGTTAATGCTAAAAGTGTTGGTTCTGAGGGACGCTTGTCTGATTCTGCGCATGCACTTTTTATTCCCGGACCAATAGGCTATCCTTAACCGTACTATTAGTCCCTCTGGACAATCTCTCTACTACCATCTCTACTACCATTCTAGCATTAAGACGGAAGTTATTGTTCAGATGGATGCATTCATTGACTTAGGGGAAACAAGTGGTTTTGGTAGCGAGGCTCACTGCAGAAACTCCTGCGTGATAAGAATGCCAAGTTCCTGTGAACAGGAAGCAACAGTTCAGTTCAAGTGTGTCTTCTTAACCGTCCAGTGATATGAAGAAAAAAAAATGTGCTGTGAGGTTTGTTTTAGAATTGACCTCCATCGTGTTTATGAGGGATGATTCTTTAAGGCCGTACAAAGGAAGGGATGATTGAATAAAGATGAGAGAAAAAGGCAAATCCATTATCCACAAAGAGCTTTGAGCATTCAGGGAAGAAAGATATTGTGTGTAGATATTGTGATGCTGATATGTTGAAGATAACAAAGCAGATTAAGCATGGTGAAATGATGAGGTGAGGAGCAAACTGATGATGCATACACATGCAAGGCATTTGTTTATGCATGATGCTTTGTGAATGTTAAAGATAATTATGAAGGGAACAGAAAGAGTCCAGATAAATGAGTTTAATAAAGATGGATATGGGAGTCAATATCTACGAATGGCAAGGTAGACACAAGTGATGATTACGAGAAGATGAGCCGTGTAATGTTTGACTGCTTTTGTTCAGAGTTTGAATACAATGTTGTTCTGAGCCTCGACATCTATGTCAGTTAAAGAGACATTTCCAACAAATTAGTCTAAGCATGAAGTAAACATCAAACCCTGGCAGAGCTGAGTGTCTAACGCAAACTTGTCCGCAGGCTCCTGCGAGAACAATGGATCCGAGCCAAGTACGAGAGGAAGGAGTTCCAGTGTGTGGAGAGGCAGGAGCCTTACTCAGCAGGTAAGAATAAAATGCGCCTCTGCCCAGTTATGCCCACAAACACAATATACGTCTTGCTTAGCACCGCCTATTTAGCATTGAATGAAATTGAAATGGCATCATCCATTTATCATTACCAACATTCTTGGGTGAAACAGCTGATGAAATCTGAGGGAAAGGAGGCCCACTTTGCTGTCTCCACTTAAAGTGATAGTTTAATATTTTAGGAAATAAGAAAAATGCAGCATGTAACTACTCTGAAAACTGTTTGTTTATCTGGATCCATAATATTGTTGCTTGAAAGTTGTGACAATATTCTGGGTAGGGATGTAACTTAAAGCAGCACTAACTCTTGTGATGGTGATCTTGTGAGAAAACTGTACATCTGTTGGGGTGTGTGTAGAGGTGCTAGTTGGCCTGCTAATGACATTACACAGTCAAAGGGTGTTAATGAATAACTCATGGCTCAGTAGGCACCATCACCCACTGCTCATTTATATGGCCGGCCCAATTAGCCTGCCAGATAGACTGAGTGCTCGTTCGAAGGATAGATGGTGTGTCAGCATGGCTTATGTCACAGAGACAATGAGGGTTGGTCATCAGGGGAAGAAAACTTTAGCTTCTCATGTATCATATTCCCCCCCCCCCCTCTGCTCTACCTTCCTGTTTCTGTTTATTGCTTATCCACACCCACCTCTGTTTCCCCCTAGCCACAGTTTGTTTTACCCTTTCATTTGTCTAAGCTCCGTTCCCCACTAAATGTATGCTGCATATCCCTTATCTCCGTCTCTTGTGCTGAATCATGTGCCTGCGTGACCGTATGAGTCACAAATGACAAATTTCTCTTGCCTTGTGACGCCTCATAAAAGAGAGAGAGAGTGGCACCGACCTGACTGCTAATGAGACTCAGCAAATCAATAATGGAGGCCCCCGCAAAGTAACTGGCAGAAATTGACCTTTGACTACAATCGAAGTAAAGCAAGTTAAAGTAGTTGAAATATTACTCGGCTAAAAGAAACAATTACTCGTTTACCTTTTTTCCCCCTTTTTAAAAAACACCTCCAGTGTTAACCCCTATTTATAAGCAGCATATACATTAACATGTAATAAAGGGTTTATAACAAACGATAAGATATTAGATTTAAGTGTTTATAAATGTACAGTATTTGTCACCAATAACTTATGAATATTTATTTTATATCACAACTGTGTTTTACTATATTGTCATTCAGCACCCACCTATGGGTGCCCAGAGCACGAGTTAAAGTTGTTGACCAATACAATATTAAACACTTACATCGGCTTACAACAACATTTTAGTTTTATAAACCATGTATCTAGTGTTTAAATACTGCATAGAAATGCAAAATTGGTGAATGTAAAGTCCAGTTTTACATGCAGCACTTAATACCACAGAGGTGTGTCTCTCTGATTATAGGCCTTTCTCACGGCAGACGGTTTGACTTGTTAAACACAGGATCTAATAACATCAATCTTATTCTGGTGTTTCAGTGCCATGGATCTCTGGTGTCGTGCATGCTTGCTCACTGACATGGCTGATGTATAAATTTAACAGGGCCAGCATTGTTTTTCAGCCTGTATCTTATTAAATTGTCCCATCATTGTTATAAGAATACAGAATACAACTTCACAAAATGATTTAGTTTTGAGAAACTCTGCTCTGCTGCAGCCTCTCACAAGGTTTAAGCACAGTCTAAGGGGACAATGAGATGCTGTAAGTATAGTCAGACATGTCTGTTCTTTATGTTCTCCTGATAAAGACATATGGCTTTCTATCATTTTTTTTTTTTTACTGTTTTTCATTTATGACTTCTGTGCCGGAAACGGAAATTTGTGCAACAATATTCAGTTAACCTGATAGAGGTCATGGTTTGTGGCTGCGTTTTTGGATGGACGATTTGAAAGATATTTCTGTGTTACTCCATGCCCTCCCTGTAGAAGGTACATGGGCGGGACTTTCTCTTCAAATTTGTAGCAGAGTGATGTTTATTTCTAGAGCCACAGTGTCAAGTTCACACAGAAGTTTCAACTTCACAACACAGTTCCACTTTAAACAGAGCCATGCTAAGTTCTATCAGGGTTAGAATTGAGCAACCTTGCAGTAAGAAAAATGATAGAAAAATAAAAAATCTCCCTTCAAGGTTTAATCTCTACTTAAAGGTAGACAAGATAAAGCCCTATTGTCCGAGTCTTATGACTGTCAAACCCTTCCACTCTGCCTCTGTCTTTGTCCCTCTCTGTCAAAGGCCTCTTGTGTTGTGCAGTGCAGAGGTTTAGGAGCTTGTGGCTGTGTGTCTCTGCCACGGAGGAAGAATAGCCTCTTTTGTGTACTCTATATAACATTCCATGTAACATTGCTCCTATTTTATTCCGGGACAATTTAGCAGCGAGACACAGTGGTCAAAAACTGGCTTTAGTCTCCCAAGTGTTTGCAAATATTTGACATCCTGTTTTAACAGTGAATGAATTATCTTGTTCTCCATAGTGTTGTGTTGTTGTGGACAGTTTGACCCCTCCCCCCCCCTCACAGCAGCAGAGAAAAACAAATGTCAGAATCATGAATAATTGATGAAACTATTGCTCAACCACAAGTTTACTGCAGCCCAGACCAGTCGATGACGACTTTATTACTGGATGAAAGAGATAAGGTGGTGCAGGTGAACCAGAGGACAAACATTAAAGTGTTTGTTAATTCCAATTTCCCTGAGGAAAGTGGAAATATTCTGGCACATTTTCCTTTGCCGCCCTTTGCTTTTAATCACATTACACTTTGGCTCATTTGAATGAGCCACTTTACTTTCAATGGAAATGCTTTTCTTGTACAGATCCCCGCAGGGGAAGTGGTTATTAGGTTGTTTCGAATGTAGTCTGCTATTTAGAGATTTCCATGTAGTCAGAAGAAAACAGTTATGTGTTACATATGTGAGGTTGAGAGTTGGCATCAAACGGGATTATTGCTATTATATTTAGGGTTCCTACACTATTCCAAAGTCAAAATCAAACACTTTTCAAGCCTTTTCAAGGAGCATTTCTAAGCTTTGGTAAATTACATATCTATATTCAGTACATACATTATCTCACTTCATCACGTTAAATCAGATGTTATTGTATCATGAACAAAGTATGAGAAATATAATAAATACCACCTCCATTCAATTTGTAACTAAAACTACACTAAAGAATAGAAAAAGACATAGAAGACAAAACGAGAATCAAAGAACAAAAAGCTGAAAAGTGGTAAAAGTCTCTTGATAATAATAAACCTAGAGCCTTGCAACAGTTTTCAGTTGTGGTAATTGCAGTGCACAGTGCTGCCGGATTGATAACATCTTTTGAACTAAAAGTAGCTTCTGTGATCGTGCAAAGAAATGTTCTGATGCCAAATATGCCAAAACCGAATAAAGATCGAGTTTGTTATCGTATGAAATCCTGTTCTTAGATATTTCTGTTGAATATTGTCATATTGCTGATTTGCGCATGCTAAGTAAGTTTGTGTGTCTGTGTGTTGTTTGGATGTGCACAGGGAAATGACAATGCATTTCTTTTCTGAAGTGTTGTTTCTATTGGCTCACAGTGGGTTTTGTCAGAGAGGCCAGTGTCAGCAACAGGCCCGGGAACGGAGCCAACACGATCTATGGGTGTAGGGACTGTTTGATATCAAGTTTTAGAAGAGATTAAAAATGACGGAGCGCATATATATATATGTTCATTGATACACTGGCACTGATCGGACTGTTAGTTGTGACACAATGGTGCTTTGGTGGTTGTCTAAAGGCCTGTAGAGGAAGCCATCAGTTGAAGCTGAATTATGTATGTGCAGTAAAAATACGCTTCCTCCCACCACTGCTGAGCTGCTGTATAGTGACATACTGTAAGCTAAAAGTGAGCACGCACACACCCTCATATTACAGCTGCTTGTAATAGGATTTTCAGCGGTCTCCTCCAGCATTGTTTCTGGATCAGTGTCCTGTGTGATATTCTCACTCTTGAATGACCACTGTTGCATAAAGTAATGAAAGATTACTGTGTTCGTGCACTCTCAATGTGCTGGATAAATGGGCACAATTTGAATGGGTTTCATGACGACCAATACGTAAAGACATATACATGCGAAGCATCAGCATTAATTTGAGCTAATTTACCAAGGAAATGTTGTGGGGCTAATTCAAGGGAAGGAAGTTGCCCACTTGGTTCGGGGAATGATAATATCGTTCATGACTATTAAAGTCATCACCTAAAGCTTCCGTAATTGATATTTTTACATAATGGATCTAAAGCCTTTGTGTCCCTTCAGCTCTACAGTGCGTTGGAGAGTTTAGGTTTCCAGCAAACTCGCCAAATGGCAGTCAAAGATAGCAACTATACCATAGCAGAGTATTTAGCAACTAAAGACAGACTAATGATTATTGGATGTATATTCTTTGGGTGGCCGGAAACACGAATACGCTGAAGTTGTTCTGTCTGCTGGATGTGTAAATGACTTGCTAAAAGGTTAGCCATATGAACTTAAGAAAATGATATGACAATGTTGTGTTTACAGCTTGTTCTGCTGCCCACTGCCCCAAAAAAAACAACTTCTGCTACCTTAAATATTTCAAAATAATAATGAGGCTTATAGCTTGATATTCCCTATAGTGACATTTGTGAATTTCTCCTCTGTGTGAATGTTGTAAAAATGTCTGTCTTTCCTCTGTTTTTTCTCTTGTTACTGCTCCGTGTTGAACGGGACCCTTGCGCTCTTTTCCCTGCAGGCTACAGAGAGGGCTTTATATGGAAAAGAGGCAGAGACAATGGACAGTACCTCAGCCGAAAATTTATTCTGTCCGAACGGGAAGGTGTTTTGAAGTACTTCAACAAACACGATGTGAGTGTTCCCTCACATTTAAAATCCGAATTTGATCTGCCTTTGATTAAAAAAAAAAAATCTCCCTCTATAGAAACGTCTTGATTTTTCTGGTGGAATCTGGAGATCCCATTTAACTCCCATTTCAAAATGTTGCTTATTACTATGTTTATAAGTACAAGACCATGGTTATCTCTCATTTTAAAAATCACAGTGGTAAAACATGTCACAGTGTGTTAACCGAGATATGGCAAACTTCTGCATTATTTTCTATTCCATGTAGAGCATGTTTGAGGGAGATGGAAGGAGAAACCAAGACAAACCATCGACTGTCCATCTTCTAAACATATCATTCTTTTCTGCAGGCCAGAGAGCCCAAAACGATAATGAAGATCAATACTGTGAATGCCACTTTCCAGCCAACAAAAATCGGCACTGCCCAGGGCCTGCAGATAACTTATTTGAAGGACAACAGCACTAGGAATATCTTTGTTTACCATGAGGATGGAAAGGTGGGGTGCAGCGACTTTCTGTTTGGTGTTTTAAGTGGAGAAAAAAAAAAGAGCCAGAGTGTTTCTCAGGATTCAGGAAAAGGTATACATGTCCCTCTGGTGGACATAGTTTGCCATTACAAATAAGAGAAGTTTACTTTTATAATCCTTAATAAAATTGTAAAACTCATACAGCATCTGAAATAATATTGTGAGAATATGCTACGTCCTCAAGATGGGGCACATCTCCCTCGGGTTTAGAGCTTTGAAAAGACATTTTGTCTTTGTCATTGGAGGTTATTATGGAGTGTCAGGGCTGGTGATGCATGTGTGAGGAAAAGGTATTTCAGAAAAACTCTGTCACTGAACTTCCTGATGCCCTGTCTTGAAGGAAATGGTGGACTGGTTCAATGCCATCAGAGCAGCCAGGTTTCACTATCTTCAGGTGGCTTTTCCTGGAGCATCCACCTCTGAAGTGAGTACATGCATGCACATACAATGCATGAAGATACAAAAGCATTGTTTTTGTATATTGTCTTGGGGGAGATTACTTACTTTCAATACAAAAAATAATAGTAATAGTTCAACACACACACAGTTTATCATTGACTAAGAATTTGCTCTTTGTTTGTCCAGTTGTTGCCAAAGCTAACCAGGAACTACATAAAGGAGGGTTACATGGAGAAGACTGGTCCAAAAGTAAGGCATTTATCTGATGTTGTTACATTACTTTTCCACAACGTGATTTATATGTTAAGGAGGTATGCAATACCTATAACAGTGTCTTGCAGAGCATGAAAGCAAAGTTGTTTATTTGACATTTGGTAAATGGACTTGTACTTGTACAGCGCCTTTCTAGTCTTCCGACCACTCAAAGCACTTTTACGCTACATGTCATTCACACCCATTGATACACTGATGGCAGGGGCTACCATGCAAGGTGCCACCTGCCCATCAGGACTAACTAATCATTCACGTCACATGTAAACCGAAAGCACTGCCTTCGGGAGCAATTTGTAGCTGTACTGTATGAATTGGCCTCTGTGTTCTGTCCCACAGCACACAGAGGGCTTCAAGAAGAGATGGTTTACGATGGATGACAGGAGGCTCATGTACTTCAAAGATCCACTGGTACACTTATTTCTACCATGTATTAGTCTCTGTGTATTCTTTAAAGGGGTGCGCTATAATTCAATGTCAAATAACTTTCCCTTTTAGACAAATAGCTTTCCATCTAAATGTATCTAGATTTTGGCTTCAGCTCCTTTAATGCAAACTATAAATCAGTGTTTATGTTTCATTCAACATCACTGAGTTGGAGTTTGATTCAAGATGATTAAACTATGCGCTTCTCCCTCTGCTGCCAGGACGCTTATGCACGAGGCGAGGTGTTCATTGGCTGTAAGGAAAACAGCTACACTGTGCTTCCCGGCCTCCCCCCGAACACTCAAGGCTACCATTGGCAGTTTGGAATTACAATCGTGACCCCAGACAGGAAGTTCCTATTTGCGTGCGAGACTGACGAGGATCAGAAAGACTGGATGGCAGCATTTCAGACTGTTATCAACAGACCGATGCTGCCTCAGGAGTATGCAGGTAAACTGAACACCCAAGCAGTCATTATTTATCTCTTTTCTTCTCAATTTATGAGTCCGATATACAGTATACGTTGTTTCCATTCTCTTTGCAGTAGAGGCCTATTTTAAGCACAAACCATGACTGTCTGAGTGCTTGAAGATCTGTTGCAGGGAATGAAGCTGGACGAACACAAGCACCTGGGATACGTACTTGATATCTCGTAATGGAAGTCTTTATAAAGACTTAAGTATGTCAGAGAAAAATACCTTAAGGTGAGCTAGTTACTATTCCCCCAGTGACTCCTCTACTCTATCTACCATCCAGCTCAACCTCATTATGTGACTGACCCATTTCTTAGGGAGTACGAATCCCTCCTAATCTCATGAATGTTAGCCTAACTTACTCGTCTGTGTCGTGATGCCACTTACATACGTACCTGAAAGAGGTCTGTCATCCTGACCTGAATGTTTGTAGAAATCAGATTTTTTGCTGCTCAGATGTTTTTGTCTGTTTTCAGTAACATAATAAGTATGCAGATGCTCACATTTATTCCATGTATGAGTACAATGATATTTAATTCTCAATGTATTTATTTTTTTAACTGTCAAATTTGCTATATACAGCTTGTGATGCTATATTGCCAAGCACTGCAGGTATAATACGTTTTTTTTTTTGGTTGCTGTTTTGTACATATTCAAGCAGCTGAATGTTAACTGGTTTGTGAAATGTGTATGATCACATTTAAGGATTGGCTTGCATTCCTTTTGTCTCCTTTTTTTGTAAAAATAGTGATCCACTTCAGCATTTACTTCCATGTGGTATATTTATCCAGCAGATGGAGACAGAGGAGAGGGTTTAAACTCACTATGACCCCCGCCTACACAAACACCAGGAGCTCATTAGGCTCATCAAATCAGTGACTGCAGTGAAACGGAAATGTTGTCACTATTAAAAGGGGTAAAGCCACGTTACTTTCTGTTTTTATTTTAGTTATCTTTCAGATACAAGAAATGAGTTGCACATTGAAAAGTAGTAAAGCCAAAAACCCAATACGTTACTGTGAACATCAAGATAGGAAAAACATGAAAATGTACAGTAAATACTATACAGGGATATCCAGTTTCTATGACTAACATTAAGTCTACCAAAGCAACAGTCATATAGAAAAGAGGCCTATGCTTCTTTTATTAAAACCTGGTTAAATATGGTTAACATATTATAATAAATGCACTGGTCAAAATGTTGGCATGGCACAATATACCCCATTTATATATTCATGATTGCAAAAATTTAAAGCAGCCTACTGATGTTTGCACATTTGACTAAAAATTGAACATTAAAAATGAAGAAATATAAACATCTGTGTGTTGTATACAATACTTTGGTTAACATTACCAACATACTGTTAGTCGTTATTTCCTCGAATACCCCTCTAAAACCTCACTCATACTCTAATTTATCATCTAAAGTGATATTCTTCCAAATACAAACTTTTTTTTACATGAAGAAAAAAAGTGTTTACATCACGTTTGTCAAAATCAGGTTTCAAAACTAAAGACTATATAAACAAGAAGAAGAGAGGTTGCATCAGCGCTCTCCAAGACCCAACATCGATCCTCTAATATTGAAATAATCCCCAAAATGTTTAAGGTTCTATGACACATGCACTGCCATGTCTCTGATGGTTTGTTTCAACTACTGTATACTTTGATTTATCATCTAGCATTAATTCTAATTTAATAAAAGAATAATTGTAGCTAATGATGCTATTCTGTACTTCATATGGTTGCATACAAAATAGCAAACATCAATTGCCAGACATATTCCAAGTGAGACATATCCCCAAATATCCACAGCTGAATCATGGAAATGGTTGGATTGAGTTTATGCTGGTGAGCTCCAAAGAGCCTGTTGAATTACTGACATGAACACTGAACCATGGACAGAACAAGCATCACTATACACTCAACGACTTTACAGGAAAACGTATCTTGCAAAAACATAAATTCTGGTGCGAGAACTTCCCATCACAATAACATAACCACACCAGGTAATGCAAAAGGTAGGTTTCCGATTCAACGCTTGGGTTTAAAATATCATGCGGCTACAGTAATGGAAGAAATGAATGACTCCATTAATAGGTTAATAACTAAGGTGTGGAGCGTCTAACATGTCTTTTCGCAAACCATAACCTGGGGCTACATTCACAGCTGCAGAAGGAGGTGGATGAGGACAAGCAGGACATATGAAATAGAGTAGGGCAGCGAGATGAGTGCAGGACAACAGAGGGAGGATGTGTGGACTGAGACAGGGAGGTTTTGAGAGGGTAGAAACAAAACTGCAAAGATATTTATACCTCGCTGGAGCCGACTCCTCAGCTTTGATCTCACCAGATATGAGCACATACGGTATGAACATAAGTGATCCACACACACACACACACACACACACACACACACACACACACACACACACACACACACACACACACACACTCAGATCCAGAAAATGACAAGGGCAGGCTCTAAGACCTGCAGCAGCTTGTGCTCTTCATCTCCTTGTTTACGTACTCCTGGAGCTTAAACTTCTCACTGGGCTCCTTCGTAGACCGGTGCTTCAGCTCCCTGAGACAAAGGTAAAATGAGGTTAAACATCATAAATCATAAACACTGCAAATGATCAGTTTGTCTTAAGATACTCCAAACATTTTCATTCATAACATCTACATCATGTATTGTATTTTCGACAAAGTACATACAGAGGGTACATATACTGATAATCGACTTTACAGTGAAGTAGGACATAACTTTGCATATTCATTGATTTTGGATTTTAAATATAAAAACAATCTATCAGACACACATTATTATTCCTTGCTATTGTTATGTGGGGAACAACGAGCAAGTTCACCTTTAATTAGGAGGTTTTGGTTAAACTATCCACAAGGTCAAAAATAAACTTTAACATCTTAAAAATTCTTTATGCCAGTAAAGGGCCGTCACATAATCTTCTTCATGGTTTAGTATTCCAATATTTCGTCGATTAAGAAGACAACATCAGACTGATCCGCAACACTTGCAGAGAGAATGATACTCACTTAGCCACAGCAGTGAAAGCCAGCTCTACATTTAGACCTGACCTGGCGCTGGTCTCCATGAAGGGAACTCCGAACTCCTGCAGAGTCAAAGTTATGACAATTATTGGAGATCGTTTTTTGCCCAGAAGACATCCATGGTAATTTAACACTTTTCAACTTGCTGCTGCCTGCAAGGTATGCTACAAAAACTTGAAATAAAGACCGTTGACTTATGATATAGAAATGTACAGCAGAACTTTACAGCACAATAGTGAACTAGTAGATTCTTCATCCAGCACAGATGTGATGAATTTGTCTCCCAGCTTTTCCTCTTGCAGGGGAATTTGTCTCAGCCCACAGTGATGATAACTGATGTGCTTTTTCTTCCCTTCCAGACTGAGTCTTAAGTTACATAGCGGCAGTTTAGTGCTCCCGCTTCTGGGGAGAATCGTTTGGCTGTCTGCCATTTGTTTGGTGTGCCATGCTACAAAGGAGATTTATAAAAAGAAAATTCTGCTCTTTGTTTCAGTGCTTTGTATTTGTAGCCAACAGGAATATGAAACTGACAGACACAGGGAATGAATGTTCTACAGAAGGTCATAAAACTATACATGATGACATGGAAGGCAGGAATCTATACAATACATCTTCATTATAAAATGTTAATTGATTGTAGAGGGGGGCAAATCTGAGCTGTCTGGCCTTTGTGTCTTATCTATCTTTTTTTGTTTGCAGGTGGTACATTGTCTAGATAATTTCTTTCTGTAATACTCAAAATCTTCTCATCTGTCAAAACAATTCAATCAGCCATTCAAATACTGTTGGAAAATGACATGGAAGGAGAAATCATGGGTCACATACGAGGCCTTGATCTTCCTAGAATAAAAACCTTTTGGTCATGCACGATGTAGGTTCGCAGCTGTAGCATCTGGACATTGAAAGTTGTGCCCATATTTTTTGTACATTTTCAATAATTCACCTTTGCAAGCCTCTCCCCATCTTCTCTCTTCACCACCCTCTCATGAGTGGCATCAGCCTGGTGAGACAGGGAAAACAAGGTCACACACGTGCACATCGTGCACCAACAGCGGTGCTTAAACCACGACATCCACCCACGTGATTTGCAGATCTGCTTACTATTTGTCCACAGTTTTCATACAAGTCTTCCCTGGTGTTCAAGTCTGATGGCAGCTAATGAGTCAAGACTGACTCTCAGGATGCTAATTAAGTGCCGATAAGGAGTGTGGGGGACTGAAACAAGACAGAGCTCCGAGGCAGAGACATCTGTTCAGAAGAAGGGATGTGAATGGCAGTTATAGAAAAAAAAAAAAAACGTGTAACACTAGTATTAGCAAAATAGCAGGTTGAGATGTTGACAGATGTTTGTGTGCTTGAAAGCAACAATAATAAGTGTCCTTAAATTAAATGTTATCAGGCAGAAAGTCACCAATAATTAACTGACTGAGCTGTGGACAGGTGTTGTAAATTAGCATTTCGCTACAAACACTTAACACAGTGCATCTGGGCTTTGTGCATAAATGTATGTTACAATTCTAATGCTACTGTGATGTCCATATCAAATAAAATAAACATAACATAACAAGTTGGTTTGGTAAATTATTTTTTAATGAAGTTGAAGCTTTAACATATACAGCGCTTGATGTTGTGCATGTGTGTATTAGAGCTGGATATTGTTAGTGATGCCAATAAAGCAACTGAGTTTTGGAACCGATATAAAAACAATATATTTTTGGATACCTTACATTGAGAAGCATGAAAATAAGTTTTGTCCTTTTTAAAGATAATACAGGAAGCCAAACATCTTAAAAGGATAAGGCTGGTCATATTCTACATTGTTTTGTCAGGCTGTAATCAATAGAGCGTTAGCCTACGTCAATACTTTCCCTATCCTGACTGTCACTCAGCCTAACACCCATTGGTTCCAACTGAAGACGAAAATATTAAAAAATGTCTCAAGTGTATCAAAAGTATACTTTTATGTATATATTTATATTTCCTGAACAGCTGGGCACTGTCATTTTTAGAAAAATAATAATCACACAGGAGAAAATAGTGTATTTGTTGGGGTCTATTTCTAACTCTCTGGGGAATATTTACAGTGCCTCAAAATAAACTTAAGTGCCCAAATTCAACATATTTTTCCAGAAAGCAATTCTTAATAAAACCTTGAAAAACCTATTAAAGCCTTAGTCTTTCCGGGGATAGGGTTAGAAAATGTGAGCTATCTGACACGTGGTACTCGGGTCCAATCTGACCCGTTTTCAGTTTATTTCAACGCACAAAAGTTATTTCTGGAATATAGAACACAACACTATCAGCTCTTTGGACAGGCAGACTGTGAGGAAAATAAATCATTTAACTGTTACTTTGAAAAAAAAGAGATTAACTAAAAATGGCGTGTGCAAAAGTAGCCTATGGAAGTAAAGCGCGTCATGTCAGCTGATTAATTTGCTATCGGCTTTTTCTTGCTCCAATCTACCGCTGTTATATGGGCCTTTAAATATCCAATATCGGTCGACCGCTAATATATAAATATAAATAATACATCTATAAATATTCTAGTATATTCTTTGTTTCATTAACACAATGCCTTGCCTTGTTTCCAAGCAGCATGAGCACCACATCTTGTTGGGCGTACTCATGGATCTCAGTCAACCATGCCTGGTGACAACACAGGACAAGGAGACAAGAGAGGGAGAGGAGAAGCTGTTAGACAAGTAGAAGGACATTATGAGTGTGACAACCTAAAAAAGCAACAACCTGAGATATGAGACAAGAATCAAGAAACATAAAAAGTGCTTTGGGAAGAGAACATCTTGACTTACTTATCTTGAATACTGTGAGAGGAAGAGGAAGTGTAACAAACAGTTAAATCAACACGGTCTGCTCCTTCCTGCCTTAACTACAGTAAGTAGAGAAAGATATAGCTTTACAGGTGAACAAACACTTGGCAGTATGAGCTCCGACAGCACCTGAACCATCCATCCACGGTTAGTGAATTAGCTCCGACAGACACCTGCAAACCCCTCCTGCTGAAATAATATCCCTCATCTCAGCACAGAGCTTAATTGTACCCACAGTGAATTACTCCACATGGTATTTCTAACTGGCAGGTGATCAATCCGCCTTTCCTTAAGCAGTCCTACTCCAGAGCCGTTTCTCCTCTGACCGCTCCCTTGTAATTAATTAATGACTCTGTTTGTAAAGGGATTTCACCGGGATCACGTCAAGCCAAAGGTCATGTTAAAGAACAGGAGATGAGATGGGGAACGTGTTGTCACTGCTGCCTGTAAATATCAGAGTGGTTAAGGAAGACTATGCATGTGTCAATTGGAATAATCATCATGAACAGAAGGTAATGCTTCAAAATGTATTAAAAAAAAGTAAGAATATGAACTTATTGTCCCGTGTGCTGTCCACAGCATTTCTCACAAAGCGATCTGGAATGAATCCACGCCATCTTTCAAACCTTCTCCTCTATTCTAGTCTTCATCTGTAGTCAAACCATCCCACATCCAAACACTGGAGCTCCGGGCCTTCTCCCATCAACTCCAAATCCAACAGAATGGCAGCTCACATGATTCGCATTGAATGGCCATCGCTCACACACAGGTGCTTTTAAATAAAACATCTGTATATTGGAGTTATTTTCAGACTATTCTGCATTTTGTCTTTTGTCCTCTTAACCAATCATATCGTGTTGCTTTGAAATCATTGCTGAATAACCTTTGCAATTTGATGTGCTTTGGATTTAATGAGGTCGGAGAGGTTTGATTGTTTGGGCGACCAGGCAGTCGCCCTGAGGTTCTTTAAAAAGGGCTTCACCAGTGAGGAGTGGAGGGCCGAGTGAGAGGGACATTTAAAGACGTCTAGAGAAAGGTCCGCCAAGCCCTCTACATTTATGAGATAGCTGAGACATGATGAGGTTGGGTTGTTTGAATTTGCATCACCAGTGCTCTTCAACATGTTGCATGTCAATAATAACCTGCTTTATGCATAATTCAGATTTTTGTGGATGTTTCCCATCATTCACATGTTGCTCAGCCAGGTTAACTGTTTGTCCTCCATTTCACATCAACTCAGAAGTGAAACCGTAAATGTTGACTTCAGTGGCCTCAACGTTTACTTCTTGATGCCAGCGTGCTGCGTGCGACGTCTTTGTTATTGTTCTTTTGCACATGTGGTTCAGTTTAGGACCGTGACCACTGGAATCTGATATCTGCTACATTAAAGAATAATGTGAACAGCCAAACAAAAAGATCGGATCAGCAGCAAACGCTTGCAGTGTGAACGTAGTCTAATATCCTCAGCGGCCATGGCTGAAAGAACTGGGCTGGGTTCATCTTTTATTAAAAGACTCTGGTCAAACGCTTAGGGAGCCAAGTGTGAGTGACAATGCGGCACGGTGGAAGAGCACCGTGTCACATCCATTTCTCTGCTCATTGCCCTGGCAAGTCGTTAAATAGTGTTGTCAATATGATGCAGCTGGAAGTTTGTTTGTAAGGCCATGAAAAACATTTTCATGATTCACCTGTGGTTTCTTTTCCAGTGGTCTAGCACTCTGATGCATTGTAATGTCAGTTTGAAAGTTTTTACAAAGTACCCACATAACCTGTTCAGTCAATATTAACAAAAAGAGAGAAGTAATTAGTCCCCAATTGCTCTAAAATATTGAATTTCATCAAGTCAAAAAGCCAAAGGCGCCGCTAAAACTCACGCTGCCCGCTCAACTGTAGAAGATAGAGATAAGAATGGCAGAGAGACCGATGTGACAGAGGGAGAGAGAGAGACAGAGAGGTGTGCCATAAGGCAGCGGGATGGAGAGACAGACAGTGACAGACAAGACAAGACAAAGACCAAAGGATCTGTCAGAGTGGAATTAAGATAAAAGCCCAGGTAGACACCTGCTGACAGCTGCGTTGTGACATAGTTGTCACTGGCAGAGCTATGGGAGTTTCTAGTGATGGTGCCCGTTTTCCTTGTGTTGTCACTGAGATGAAGAAGCAGGGCTGTGTCCTACATTTTGTTATTCTTTTTCCTAAAGACTGTGTTTTCAAGTGTATAACAGACAGAGGTGGAATTATGAATTATATTTACTCTTGTTACTGTAACAAACCAAGTGTTCTTAGCACAATTTAAAAAAACAGTTCTTAGGTCTTAAATCAGGTCTTAGTCAAATCTGTAGTCTCGCTTATTTACTCTTTGATTGGATAGTTTGAATCTAAATGTTTTGCATCAGGTCACCTTGTTATGAGTTATTGCTTACTTGTAAAAATTAAATCCAGTGATAACATCACTTCTGTTGCCATGTGTCAGTCCAAACAATAAAGAAATATCGCTAACATTACCAGAATAATGTCAATGATTTGTCCTTGAATTCCACCAATGTCTTCTAGTCACTGACAAAGAGTATGCATTTCTTATACTGTATACAGTATCGATATCTTTGCATCCTATTAAAACTCAGGTCATACTTTGCTGAGCACAATAATGAATGTTACAAAAATTCCTCAGGGAGCCTCGGAGTGTCTCTCCACATGACCCAACTTTCCCTCCGTTTGCACTTTTGTCAAAGCAGATTTGCTATGGGTGACAATGCTATTCTTGCCAAGCTTTGATCAGAGTATTACAGCAACAGTCGAGTCTGCTCCTAACAACAGACAGAGTCAGACTGAGCCAACCCAGAGGAGCACAGGGAGAAAGTAGGACTTATCCCCTGAGAGGAGGTATAAGCTCAGGCAGGCAGCTGAGCTAAACGGAGTGATACAGTGTCACTGTCTGACACACAAGGAAGACACAAAGACATCCTGTCACTCTCTGAGCTGTGTATCACATTCATGCAGGTACACAGAAACAAATCAATATTCGATGTATTCGAAACCAGGGTTTATGATGTTGCCATTTTCAAATCAGCTTGTTGACATTTGTGGAAGTACTTTGAGTGTTTTCTTCTGCAAATTTTACAGGCACACACAATATCTTTAATAAAAACACATCAAGTCCCTCCTGTGTTATAATATCAAAAATATAAAAAAGTAACAGAAACAACCCATCCTGTAAGCTGATTCTCTGTGGCCTGACAGGGAAGAGGAAGGCTTTTATGTTTATAACAGAGCAGCTGACGCGTCTATCTGCCTAGCGAACACGGGTGTGAGACATGTCTGGGTGACTGATGTGCTTTGATAGAGTGTGAGACGAGTATAGAGGAACCATCCTCGCTTCTCTCGATGCTCTCCAGTTTGTTTTTTTGTGCTGTAGAAGCTAAACATAAGCACTGACCTTAAATCTGTTTACACCGTCCTGAGAAAATAAACCTTTAATAATGTAATCATTTCCATAAAGAGTAATAATGCCTGAAAATGTAATAAAACGTGCCCCATCTGGTCGCCCCTTCCCATCATAATCTGTCAGGGTGCAATTGTATAAAATAAAATCATATTGTTAAATATACTAAGTATTAAGGTCAACTTAAGTTTTCAACATTTCAAATTCAATTTGAAACCTTTTAAATTGCAGTTATTTCATAAGATCGGAGGCGGCAAAGGCGACGCTTCATTCAATAAGGATCGCTGTTGACTCCTTCCGATGGCGTCTAATCTAAGCACTCTGGTCTAATGGACGCTGCACGGTGACTTATCAGCATATGGGCATGTTCATTATCCATTGATAGGGATTTCAGTTTAAAGCATCTTTGCTTGGTACTGTACGCGTCTGTTGTAATTTTCAAGTTCTACATAGAGTAAGAGGAGTAAAGACTTTACATTTCTAAACATGAAATCAATGTCAAATGTTGGTCTTCAGTATAGGCTAACATTTGACTGTATTATACATTTTGAAGACTTGCACAATTTACATTTCCGAGAAAATAAATATTTTCTTACATTATCCGTCAAATAATGACATAAAAAAGACCCCCGAACGGTATGACATTATTAGTAAAAATGTTATTACAATACTAGTCAGTCGAGTGATTACATTATTGTGTTTCATTACATTTTCAATCAGGTTAAGTGCAAATTGTATAACATTTTCAGACATTATTCTATTATCAGGAAATGATTACACCACTGGGTGCTACAAGGCTTTACATCAGGACCCTTTGCTGAGCGGAAAGTGGCAGTTACACATTAAACCAACTCTGTGGCTGAACGGACTTGTAACTAGAGGCAAATATTAAACACTTTCTCTGACAAACAGATTTCAAGTGAATAAAATGATTGCTTTGCTTCAAGGAAAACTTTAATATCTTTACAGATATGAATGCGATTTAGCTTGACCCTCTGAGCAAACAGCACAATGACAAAAGAAACACAAGTACATATTCCCAAAGGAAGAGAGATTACTGGTGAGCTGAGGATGAAACAAGGTCAACTCATAGCATTCACAGATGCAAAAAATATATTACAATGCTTGGGTTTCCAAGTTGCTCTGAAACCACAGTACAAGTAAGCATATGAACATATCTGACTCTTCTGGTTCAAGTGAAACCATTAAGGCTAAGGATCTCTGTGTGCATACATGTAAAAAATAATATACTGTAACAAGGAATAGCTTTGTGGAGAATACCCTCATTGTGTTTCCATAGTTTTAACAGCACTGAACTAACTAAAATAACACTTTTTTGTTTTCTGTAATTTTGCTAAACATGTATAGTACATGAG